CCTACCTCCACTGGAGCAACAGAAATAAGGTTTTTTACATGAAGAGGAAAGCATAAATTGCAGGAAGTTTTGTAAATATTGATTCTGCCACCAAGGGCTTAACATTAGAGACTGCTCCTATGGAGCTTCAGGAATTAAATCTTCAAAAAGAAAGGATGCATTAAAGTGCATGACAAAATGAAGATGGGCTACAGAAGCTCCTCAGAGCAACCCACCACTGCATGCTGCTGCTCCCAAGCAGCTTCAGCTGGGTATCTGGCTTTGCTTTTGCTTCCTCAGCCATCTGTGTTTTAAAGCACAGGCAATTAGCAAACGTTCCACCCCAGTAATGTGGGCTACAGATCCCAAGGAAAAGCTTCTGCTGATGGCTTTCAGGTGAGCAGAGACTGTTCTGGTTTCCTCCTACCACCCTATTCCAGCTGCAGCCGTCAGCACGTTACAGAGGAGCTGGGGAGGGAGATGCTGTAGGAGCCATGGGACCAGGATGAAGTTCAAATTGTACATGAATGATATACAGTAAAAACGTTGCTCTTTTTAGCCAGTTGCCCCACTGAGGCTGGGTCTGGAGTACACTGCGTGTAACAAGGTGTTTTGTGTGGCAGAGATTCTGGCGCTGCAGGAGCAAGGCCAGGACAACCCTGTCCCTGCAAGCAGGGGTTGCCAGGGAGCACAGGGAGCTGCAGACCCACGGGGCTCCGCAGCTGCAGCGCTGCCATTAGCGCTGTGGTTACACAGCAAGAGCGAGTGGACCTGGGTGGCATCTGCCCAGGAGGAAGGCAGAAAGGGGGGGTCACATCTGCCAAACAGCAGGGGTGGTTTAAGAGGAAATGCTATTGAAGACCTCATGAACATTGCACACCCAGTTAATCGAGGGATAAACAACCCCAGAGTGCGACAGGCTTCACCTTCATGTACCGCAGACTCGATAGGGAAGAGCAAATAGAAGCCATTGGAACCTTCAGCTGAATAAAACAGTTTTAACATTGCAAGGCTTTCCCAGGCAACCCCTGGGCCCAAACCCTCCCCTGCCTCCGTGCAGGTGAACACCAGCGGCAGCAGAGAGGTGCTGCTCACCGGCGTAACCAACGTGGGCATTGATCTGCGATGTTCAACCGCTTCCTACCGAGCGATCATGATTTAACGAGGCACAGAACGTCAGCGGCTCCACCACTGTGAGCTGCTCCTCTCTGCCACACGAAGTGAGAGTGGCCGGGAGCAGGAGGTGCTGGACCTGGCCCCGGCCCCCTCGCACAGTGTGCTCGGGCCATGTGCAGCATTCCTGACTCATGGCAAAGCTGCGGGGCCTGCACTGCCCCTGCCCACCCACAGCCCAGGGCTCTGCAGAGCCCTCTGCGCCAGGACACACAAAATGAGGCTTTTGGGGTCTGGTCAGAAGTGGAGCAAAAAGAGGACAGAGACCCCAGGAACCGGCTGGAACAGAAGATGCTGAAATCAGTTGAACAGTGACAGCAAACAAAAGGAACCACAGCCAGAGGAGTCTGGCACCAGCTAAAGAGCCATTCCTGGTGCTCATGGTGGATGGACCCTGGCTGGCAGCCATGGGCACCACACACCCACCCAGTGCACAAACCTGTCCCATGCACCGGCCTCTCTCTGAAATCACGACTGCCAAGTGAGGACCACAGCATCAGCTCCAGCACGTGGTGGCCAGGGTCACTCCAGGCTGGTTTGGATCCCTCCTACATCCTCTGGGTACCGGTGCTGCAGTGTTCGTGTGTGCCAGCAGCTGGTGGTGCCACAGTTCATGTGGCAGACAATGGAGCTCTCCTCACGCCTCCCAACACAAACAAGGCTTTATTCCCGTGGAACCTCTGCAGCAACTCGTTCTGCAGGAGCCCATCCTGCCAACCAGTGCCCTGGGGCTGCAGCCCCACAGGGACCTCTCCACTCAGCCCCAGGCACCAGCTCCCCATCAGGGGGGACCTGCAGACCTCAGACTTTAGTCAGCATCCGGTGTCCTGTCTTGACCTGCCCTGAGCAAGACCTGCTCCTCCTCTCCCACTGCATCACCCAGGAGAGCCCAGGGATCTGGCGTGTGTCACAGCAGTGCCTGCTGAGCCAAGCGCTGTGGCAAAGGGGTTGCAGCTTTGTGTAAGTCACAAAGCTATTTATTCCTCCTGGCAAGTGTAATGGTACTATTTCAATATTTAAAGTGAAGCACTTGCTCAGTCCAGCTCTCTGAGGAGGAGTCACCATGTTAAAATCCGTCTGTCAGGCACGGTTTAAAACAAAGCAGCAATAAAGCCTCAAGGCAACACTGTGCAGCAGCTCTGGGCTTCAAAGGATGCAGAGCAAAGAGAGAACATCACCACCGTCACCACCAGACCTGACACAGGTTTATCTGCCTGTTGGACACACTGTGACCATCGGTGCCATCCTGCTGCCGGTCACAAGTTCAGGTGCTGCAAACATGAAGGTTTGAGTGGTAGGAGCAGGATAAATCCTGTGCTTTCGCGGGTGGGTGCTGGCAGATGACAGCAGCACGCTGAGGTGCTGCATGTGCCAGGGTGATGGGCACAGACCGATGCCATCCACAGCTGCTGGAGCAGCCCCAGGGCAGGCTGCTGACTGCAGGACCTTCACCTCAGTCCCCTCTGTGCTTTACTGAATGCAGGCCAGACTTTAAATACCTCTGTCCCCAGCCATTGACCCAAGCTCCAACCTGGACCCAGGGCCCTCTCAGCACAGCCTGGACCCTTTCAGCACCAGCATCAAACCCAGCAGCTCCTGATTTCCTCCAGCTCATTTGCTGAAGCTGCCACCAACATGGGCCACAAACGATCCAGCACGGTTCCCAGTAGTGAAGGGAACCACATGGAGCTCTCTGGAGAAGCTGTTCTGTTCCCCTCTGCAGGACAGGGGCAGGGTTTGTTTGCTCAGCCCTGCTATGGAGCAGAATCTGCCCATGGAGCAGCAGTGGAAGCACAACAGGAACCAAATTCACATCAGTTTTCAGAAGCGCTGGGGAAATACAACACAAAACCCTTCCCAGCTCCTTCCCCACCCGGCCACGAGGGTTTCACATGGCCCGGGAGGGTCCAGCTGGAACAGTTTGGGCAGGTGGTTAAACAATCCTTGTTAAATCACTGCAGAGTAACGGCCAGGTCACATCCCTCTGCAATTCCAGCATCCCCTGGGCGCGGGCTCCCATGCTGGCACATGCCCACACACAGAAACCTCCTCCCCTCTCCCTTGTCTGTTGCGTGTTATCTCAGATATGTTTATACTCTTTAGTGTGGTCTGGTGTCCTTAGAGAAACAAGCGTGTGGAGCTGCTCTAAACAGGCACCTTGTGGGTTATTTTCAGTCCTTTTGGCATGTTTCCATTTTTATCTTGTAGCCAAAATTAACACAAAGTTAAGGGACAGTTTTAAAAGCATTTACAGTTGCTTAAAGACTCTGCTCCTGGTTCAGGAGATGGGGGAGAGGTCCTTTAACACCAGCAGGTGAATAGACAAAGAAAGAAAAGGGCTCACAAGTCCCTTTTAGACCACACTCGTGTGCAGCCAAGTGATGGATTTAAAAGGTTACTGCTGGAATACGGTTCACAGCAGTCTATTGCAGTGAATAAATATCACGTTTACATATCCATTATAACAAAACAACGCTGCGCTTCTATTACTTCACGTTGCCTTGCCATCTGGAAGCCAAACAAGCTGTGTAGTAAAAAGAATTCGATTTTGCATTTACCAAAAGGAGCCACGCAAGTTTCGGTTTATGGCAGGCTATTTCCCAGCCTTCACAAGCAGAAACCTGCCCACAGGAGAACTGACCTCACCGGGCAGCATCAAGCCCATGGGGGACGCACACAAGCCAGCTCATCAGCCACCTGCAGACACCAGTACCTAAGACAAGAGACAGAACACTTTATGATCAGATTTATTTAATTAAAGTCCATTGGCTGGTTCACTGTAGGTCACACCCGAAGCTGCCAAAGCAATCTGAACACGTTACATTCACTACAAGATGCTCCCAGGTTTTCCCAACTAATCCCAGCCCACAGAAGCCACAAGGTCCCTTCCTTCAGCTGGCGCCAGGACTCACATTAAGGGCAGCAGGACTCGAGTTGCAGCCCTGAGCGGAACCGAGCCCCTGGACCCCAGCACCTCTAAAACCACCCCTGTGTGTGCACATCCTTGCATTTAGAAACCCACCCTCCCGGTGCAGGGGACAACCACCGGCTTCACTGCTAACCCAGAATGGAGAAACAATGAGTTCTGCAGGGAGGTGGGATGGGGCAGTGACAAGGAGAGGTCCCAGTACTGCTGGCCTCGGCACACAGACCAGCCCAGCTGGAAGTAGAGGAAAATCCAATCACTGCCCATCACTGGCAATCAGATCACTCCTTGGGTAATGACTCCAAAATACTTGGGTGGATGTGGGGTTATGAAAGTGAAGCTTAAGTAAGGTCAGCCCCACCAAGGTTTGTGGGGACACTGGAGGAAGCGAGGCATTAATAGAGCTTTATCTAACTCTGTCTTTAAAATAACCTGTTTCTGGCCTAGCAAGCATTTTGATATTATCTATGATATATCTATGACATGCTTTGAATATTTCCTTAAAAAATGCTGAAGACATTTTCCCTACTTGAGAGTTATCTACAGGAGGTCTCTATGACACCATCTCCTTTTACATATCTACCCCTAACAAACATCAGGGAAATACGTCAGATGCTACAGGTTAAACTTTCATCATATCTGAAAGTATATATCTCTTTTAAAGTGTATTTTCAACATGAAAAGAGCTAAAATCACAATTGTGTCCCATTGCGCAATGTGCGTGAAGTCAAGACCATTTGCACAGCTTCCAAAGTGGAACTCTGGAGAACAGCGACTTGGGAACAGTGACCACAGGGAAGGAAGGGGCTGCCACCCCTCTCCTTCAGAGCACGGAACTTTCTGTGCTATTGTCAGTATCTTCAGCTGAGAAGCCAGCTCTTGGAGAATTTCAGGTTGCAATCACTTTAAAAATCACAAGCCATTTGTCCTTAATTTGCCAATTTTAATGAAGAAAAAACCATTAATTAGCATTTCCATGTACAAAAGTCCAATAAAACATGATTTTTTTTTTTCCTTTAAATCAGTGAATGGGAAAAGTTCGAGTTAAACTTATTCAACAGTAAAAATCTTCCAATTTCCACTAATAGAATTTTTTTGCTGATGTGACTATAGGATAATGACTATCCAGAAATAAATAGCTATAAATACATTCATTGTTCCTATTCCAAAAATAATCACATAGGGAAGACACAAAACTGGAATTAACTTATTTGAACCTCTTTCTTTACAATGAGATATGGGCAAGTTATAGCAAAAGGACTCAAGACAGGAAAAAAAACCCCAAGTAGGGAATAAATTGGTCCAGTATTGACATTCATGAAACATACCAGTTAGCATAGTTCATCCTTTAAATGACACTACTCAGTCGATTTTTATTTGCTTCAGGTATACATAATGAAAGCAGTTTCCTTTGAATCTTTGCTGAGGACAGGTATAGTACCCTGGAGACACTGTAACAACCCCTTCAGTATGCATGTGCGTATATATAATTATATATAAATAATCATGCATCCACACACACATTTGTATATCAACACTGCATGTGACGGTTAAATCCATCATCATTCATCATTGGCAGCACTTGTTCCTCTGACTTGGCCTTGATTACGTAACTGCAGAGAAAGAAAACACACCATTAAGCATCAACAGTTCCCCCCAACAGCAACTTCCAAAGAGGCAGTTTCATTAAGCTCCAAGGAAAATAGGGCAGGGCGGTCAAAACATCACCAGGGCTGAGCACATCACACCAAAGCAATGCAGGACCTGGCAGGGAACCTCAGTTTGGGTGCTGTCCTCTTGGGGCAGCAGCTCCAGTCTCTGAAGACTTAAAAACTACTTTGGCTGGGGATCCACCTGCAGCATTAACACTGCCACAGCGGGAGACACCAGCGCTGGAGTCCTGGCACGAGGGCTCAAAGCTGCTATCTGCAGAACACTACTTCCAAAACTTGCCCTGCTTTGAAGATGACATGCCACAGCTGCCCTAAGTTCAGTGGACTAAGCCCACACGTCACTTTGCTACTGAGCACATCGCAAACAATGCTCATGGCTTTTCTGATTTGTCTCCCAAAAGCTCCCTGCAGGCTTCAGAGCTCAGTGATGAACAGGTCGGCACTTTGGTTTTATGCACTAGATAAGCACAAAGAACCAGGTTATGTGGGCAGGGATCCTGCCACGGCACTGAGCGCCGGCCCAGCTTCACACAGTGCCCATCCCTGAGGCACCCTGGTCACCAAGGGTCACCCCCGGCTGTTGATGACCACAAGGTTATCACACAGGAGGGAGGCCAGGCCTGGAAGCGTTATCTGGATACGCGTCCGTTTGGGCAATTTCTGCCATCAACTCCCATCCATCAGAACATTACTCATTTTCCTCCCTTTCCATCCAGCAGTTGACTTACACAGCTTGATTTGCCTCAGAACCTACAGAGAACTCTTCTAGACGTCAGCAGCCAAAGTGCCTCGAACGGAACCCTTCTTACGCATCTAAACGTAAAATAAAACTGTGAGCTACCACATAAAGAACCTGTCGCACCCATGTTAGTAAGAGAGGTAATGCTCAACATGACCAGGACTGCTTGCCTGTGGACAGCACCAGAACCAGCCCCAGCTACAGCCGAGGGGGCTTGGAGATGGGGTATACACTATTTCTTTTTGGTGAGGAAGCATGTGTAGCAGCTTTATAAATGATGCTTCTTAAATGTTTGACAGCCCATGATGCTTCGGCATGGAGCCACTGTGCCTGAAATACCCAGTGTGGCATTTAACCCTCACAACAGGGTGTCATTTAAACCACAACAAGGGGTCAGATATATAAGCCACTAAATGAGAGATAAACAGTGAGAAAAGAATGGGTTGGGACAGAGAAACTCTGGAAGAACACTGATGAGGATTCAGAAAGGCACAAAAAGGTAAACAAAAGCAAAGATCCTGACTATAAAAATCGACTTTAGATGAACAGGACCAACAAAAGAAGTGAAATGTGCACAAAATCCAAAGAGAAAGATTAGTTCAAACCAGGAAGAAGAAAGGGTGTTAATGAGAAAAGGAATAATGACAGGAAGCGATGCAAGAAAATGTAATGTTGTCAGTATCATCAGGCTTGCCTCCTGCAGTTGTTTGGGTTTAAGCATCATAGAACTGCACAGTGCAACACTCATAAAAGCTGATTGCTCCTCTGCAGGGATGGAAGCCTGAAGGTATTCCTGTCATATAAAGCACCTTATCACTGAGTGCTCACTTCCCAGAGGTCCTGGCCATAAAACCAACGTTTTGTGGTGTACTTGGGATTTAATGAAGCTTACTGCTTAGCACACTTGCTGAAGTAGTTGAATATGAAACATGAACCCAAATTATTTGGGATAAAATCAGCATTCATATTTATTTGGCATCATACATAGATGTTAGTAGATACTCCTATTATAATAGTTGAGAAAACAAAATGTTGTAACAGTAGGTCCCCACTCCTCTCCCATTTCACAATACACATAGAAAAGGTGTGTTAGTGGAACTAATCAATACATTTTTCTTGTGAAAAACTTCAGTTCCTGATGCTAATGTCTTACATAACAAGCTATTTGAAATGAACTATTTGCACCGCTTTGCAAAACAAGAGACTAGTAAATAAATACATTCAATATTTAAGCACAAGTGTTATACCCGGAAACATGTAACCCAGCTTTTGCTGAAGAACTAAAAAGCAGCAAACATTTTGCAAAACATATTTAAAAGCCATTACTTACCAGTGAGAACTGGGAAACAACTTTCTCTACAAGATGCCATATCCACAGTCCAAAGACACAGAGAAGGGAAATTCTCTCATGCACAGAGATGTGTCAAGTGCTGCTCACTCTCTCCAAGAACACGCCTTCCCCACACTGCCACTAGCCTTTCTCAGAGACATGGGATGAGGTTGATCTCACTCCAGATAAAGAACTATGGGTGTGCAAAAGAACCCTTCTGACAAAAATCAGTTACAGAGAAGAAAGTGGTTACTCTTCCTTCTTCACAGACACCCAGGAACAGGTGACTCTAGGAACAGGTTCTGGCATAAAGTAGAACTAAGGAAGAAATCCTCATGACCTGAGAGAACACCTGCCATAACCAAAACCATCCCAGTGCCACTGAGAGAACCCCATGTTGGCAAGTGAGTGAGCAGCATTCTTTTCAAACCATATTCTGGGAACTGCCAAAGCAGCCAAGCCCTTCAGCCTATCTGGAAAGGGAGTCTGGTTTTGCCATCATCTAGCTACCAACGCTCGGAATAGTGAAGAAACTTCTTCCAAATCCAGAAGACATCTCTACACAATGTAAGATCATTCCACACAGATCGTCCAAACGTGGAGAGCAGAACAAGCGGGGATGGAGAAGCTACTGCTAGTTTTGATACTATTAGAAGTGGTAGGCACAAACCAAAACATGCCCTTCAGAACTGCTGTCTGTGGGACTAAACCACCAGGCAATCACTTCAAAGATGTCTGGCAGCTGAAATGAGTTAAACCACACAAAAAAAGCAGGTTATAGCTGAAGACACATCCTGTTTTGAAAGAACCAAGACAACTGAAGGAAGATGACAAGCCGAATGGGTTTGGGGCATAAAGCCATTGGCAAAATGGGAAGGAAATTGAATTGCAAATCCACACACTGCAAAGAACCTAAAAACCCTGCAAGATTTGAAATGAGAAAGGTTCAGGCCAAAGATCGTACTCTAGAAAGACACTACAGAAAAGGCTTCCTGCCTAGTCTGTGATGTTCCTCCACCTCTTAAGGGAAAGAGTAGAGAAAGTGGCCTATGGATGAGTTTCCTTCTAGGCATCAGCCCAAACACAGACCACGCTATACATGTTTGGTCCTCACAGACACTAAAGCATGACAAGCAACACCCTCTCAAGCCCATTGATTTTACTGACCTCCTCTGTTCAAGTGCTATTCTAAGTTTCAGTATGCTCCTCAGGATGAGTGAACAACTGTAATATGACATATAGCAACTTGCTAGGAGACATGTTTGAAGAGAAAAGGTAATCAGATCTAATGATGATTAGGAGGACACATGATGGAAAAACAAGATGACAGCCCTTAATCCTAACTGACAAGTGCAAGCACCAAATGGGACTTTGTGCAATGGATATGGTGCCATAAAGAAAGGTGCTCAGGGCAGACATTCTGAATTTGGTGACAACAGAAATATCCTTACAGCCACTTCCAGCTTGACCCACACAATATTCAGAAGCTTGACGTACATGGATCTGCACACGAAAACCACTAAAGGGGCTGTATTGTTCATCAGCAATTGCCCAAACACACACAATGGGAGGAGCACAACATAATTTCTGTCAACTCCAGAACAGATAAATCTACAGATAGAGAGCACACACTCACAAACTGCAAAAAAGCATTCTTACCGCTTCCAGCTCCTTTTGGGTTTCATCCTCCATTCTCCTAATGTCTTCCATGGTCAGGTCAATCCACTTGTCAATCCAACAGAACAGCTGGCGATGAAAGTTGGTAAATATCCTTTTTTCTTGCTTTAAGAAGATAAACAAGCATTAGATAACAGGCCTCATTTTGTGAAAGCCTGCTCAAGTGATTGCAGCTGCTCCATGGGAAAGGCTCTAATCCTCAGAAGTAGCTGTCTCCCACTGCACAGGCTCAGCCTCCCGCAGTGCTGGACCCATGCACCCACCTGCCTGCCCACCCCAACCCACCACCCTCACCACACCCAGCAAGACAGCACTTACCTTCTGAATGAAGTTTTCCACTTTGTTCTGCAGTCCCCACCATTTAAATTTGATAGTCACCAACTTGTAAGCACACATTTTTGGACACTCTTCATCAGTTGCCAGCTCCTTCTGCACAGGGATAATGGGAAGGAACTTTTACTTTTTTTCAATTTTTACTTCTTTCGAATGAAATATAATTATTAGAAATTATAACTCTATGTATTATATTATTTATATTTATATTAATCATATTATTTCACAGTAAATAAAAAACCCACTATCTTACCATAATTATGAATTACATTCTAAGTATTATTAAAGTTATAATAACACTTAGAATTTTAAGCACTAGTAAATACCTAGCATTGTAACGTGAACATAGAGCAATAGAGATTAACAATCAGGTTAAATCTGTAAGGCATTTCCATCCATGTTGCAAACATACACTACCAGTCTCAGTCCTTAGGGAAAGAACCAAGCAATCAACCAAGGAAAGCCAATAGTATTTAAAAAAAACCATAAAAAATCATGTGTTTGGCTTAAATAAGCAGCAGTTGCCATCAGAAATCCACAGTTTCTTATTCTTTAGATCTGCAATAAACTAGTAGAAAGTAGAAATGCTTTACAGCTTTTTTTAAGCTTGATTTCTTCTAACCGTCAAATGGACAACTCCAGTTGGACATGCACACAGTGAGCAGACTGATCTGGTCACAGAAAAATCTGACATACAAATATCTGTGTGAAAACATGTATTTAACACAGAACTTTTAGCACAAATACTCATCACCAAAGAGCATTTCAATGAAAACCAATTATCCTCAGAAGACTGATGTTCTATTCATGAGCAAAAATAAGTGCTGCTGTTGTTTGCTATTCCCAAACAGTACAAGTCTATGTCCAGGCATTAGTAAACGGGCAGAACTAAATGGAACACCCAAGTTCTGTGCCACCAGTTCCAGGCATTCAAAGTTTTCCTGCTCATTCTACAGCTGCTCATAAAAACCACACTGGTCACTCCCCGCTTTCTTTGCGTCACGCAGGCTCAACCAGGCCATTCCTGCACCAGCCTCCTGCTTCCTTCCTGAGCAGGAACAGCAGACTCCCAGGGCAGGATGCACATTTTCAGCAGTGTACAAAAATAATGCCTGCAACACTTTTACCCTGCCAGGAGGAACACTCGGCCCAGGTAGAAGGAGCATTCCAACAACAGGAGGTGGAATAAAAACCTCCCCTCATCACCTTTAAACACACAATATGCTTATTCTTCCATGAGACTAAGCTAACACTCAGGCCCAGGGCAAACCCACCAGCCAGAACAAAGGTCCACCTGCCTCAGTATTCCACAGTGGCTAACGGCAGAAACCCATGGGAAAATATGAAACCCAAGGAAGACAATCTTGGTAATTCACTTACAAACTCTACCAACTTCCAGCTTTTTATAAGCTGTGAAACTTTGTGCAGCAGAACTACTTTCTGTCCTTGGATACACAAAGGGAAGAATTAAGGCCATGTAGGTATGTGTAGATTGGGCACCACAGGGCAAAAATCGGGGCACTGCAGAGGCTGGAGGGGATGTTCCCTGACCCTGGCGCAGGAGCCTGTTCCAGTGCTTGACCAACCCCACAGCATAAAAAGTGTTTTCTGGTGTTCAGGTGGAATTTCATGTTATTTCTGTGTCTGCACAAAGGTGGAACATCTTCTGCCTACTGCTTGCACAACCACGTTTTAGGATAGGGAATTAGGGACTGAGAGCTTGCTGGTGCAACACGTCCTGCTCTAAGATCTGATGCCTGCCTTGCTGCTTTGCAAAATGTAGTAATAAAATAACTGTGACATCTAAATAACAAACTAGAAGAAAATTCACACCTCTCAGAGTAAGCCCTTCACACTGTATTTTGACAGAAACATTCATGCTGTATTTAGAACTTTTTTGGAAAATGAAAGACTGAATGTGTTTACAAGAAAATTTAAGAAAGAGGGGCACCATTTGAAATGCATTCAAACCCCCTCAGCACCTCAGTGTAATTCATCACAGCACACACTAAACACAAGTAAAAATATGCTACTGTCAATGACATTTCACTTACAGTAAAGAAAAAAGTGAAAAATTGTATTCTAATTGGTAACTAGGGGCCTGTTCCTGACAGGCTGTATCCACTCTGTGTATCCACTGTAGCATACAGCAGCTTTCTTCTCAGTTTCTATGAGGTTATCTGGTGTAACAGAGAAAGTTTATTTGGCTTTAGCAGAGCTGTTGAACAAGTAGCAGACAGTACCTTTGCTTACTAACACACTTGGAATTTTCACTCAATACAAAGAAAATTATTCAATTTCTGCTCTCTCTTCTGTGACTAATATTGCTGGTGCTATGGTTCTCTAAGGAACTGTGAACTTCTTTTTTCCTGCTGATAAAGACTTTGTAAGGTCAGCTCTCAGTACCTTCCAATTTGGCCCCAAAGGTCCTCTCTTTGTCTTAACCGACTGGAATAACGCAGGGTCTTCATCAGCTTTGTAGTCCTGTAACACAAAAAAACCCCACAAGAGTCAGAAAAAACTCCAACCCCACTCTATTAAGGTTCTGTTCAAGACTAACAGGTTGTTGGAAACACTGTAAAACCCCTCCTGAGTTACCTACAAGTAAAGTGTATAAGTGAAAACAAAAAAAATCCAAAGAAAATAGATGAGTTGTAGTAAAGTTTCCTATGCTAGAGCCTACATACAGAACCTTTGTACCAAGATCTGTCAGGACTCAGTTAAACTAAATCCTGTTATGGACATTAAACACCACCACCACCACCACCACCCCCATCTAAATGGACGTCTGGATGGACAAGAGAGTATTGTAGGAACTTGTCTCAATGCACAAACCCTACCAGCATGTGAGGAAGATGACTGGACTAGAGCCAAAGTACAAACAAACAAGAGTTCTTTGCAGAGTTTAAGGAAAATATCAGTGCAGTGAGAGCTTAACTCCTGACAGCAGCAAGTCCTTCTTAGGAAGAAAAACAGGCGGCTGTTGGAACAAATATTACAGCTAAAAAACCCTGAAGCCCTCTTGAAAGCCAGACAGGCAAAACATCATCATGCAGCAGCATAACAACATAGAGGAGCTAAAAACCACTTCAAAGAAATACACAAATATCATTTCATCGGCAGTTTCTGCTCAAATTTTCAATATAATATGCATGAATGCAACAAACTGTCCTAAAGAATTATTGAGAGACTGCGAACCACACACAATAAAGTAATGATCACAACAAACCCAGGGCCTGGGTGCTTCTTTACAATTCTCATTCTCATTTATGAGACCTGCTACAAGTAATAACAGCATTCCTGATAGCTCATAGTTCACTCTACCAAGCAGCATGAAGCTTGGAAGCATATACACAGGACAGAATGATTGTATGATTTTTAGAACCTAACATTAAAATGATGCAAGTCTGATGCTTTATCTGCAAATCCCTGAGAAAAGCTTCCTGAACAATGAGTGGTGTAAGGCTCAGGACACGGGGGCACAGCTTCTGGCTTTTCAACTCAGCATCCCCTGAGGTTTTAAACAGGAGAACACTCAAACTGACAGTCAGCAGAAAACGCTACATCTGAAACAGGAGAGATCCACCTACCAGAAAGCAGCCCTTCCACACAAGAATCTTTTAAGACTCTTTTGCAGACTACAAAAGAGGAGAATTTCCTATATTCCACTATATTGCTTCCAATGGTGGAACAAGGGACACTACTTACTGCACAGCTCATAGAAATCCTATCTCTTAGCGCATGCATTAAGTAATTTCACTGATATGCATAAAACTGTATTTTTAGAACTTTGTTTCAAGTAACATAAAGAGACCCCCCACGACTTAGAACAAGAGATTTCATGTCTTCATTGTACAAAAATAGCTATAAACCTGATTTCAATGTCTTTGTTTTCATCACTCTCTTACAAATTGTTTCCAAAAACGTAGCCTCTCCTGATGCTAACTGAATGTTCACTTCTGCTTGCTCTTGAAAAAGTCTTACTCTCCTGAGAAGTGATTTTTATATACAAATCACACAAAGTTACAGAGACTGGATGCTGGAGATGATTAAGAGAAGGCAGGGTTAAATTTATATCTAAAGAAAGCCACAGATGTCAGCCAATTTCTTTCTAAACATACTTCAATGAGCACGAGTCAGCATATGAATGCCATTAGTATCTTAAAGAAATTTACTATTTTTATATTTATGCTGATTGTAGTTCTGAAACTACAGTAACTGCTTCACTACAATGGGTTGGACAAGGTTCATTCTTGGAACAAAAAGATAAATCTGGAATATATGAAAATTATTATCAAAATTGCTGGATCTTATCAATGTAGTTTGATTTTCTCAGCTATGCTGTTATCCAAGATAATGCATCTGAACTGCTTTTCCAGGCAAAACTATGACTGAGAAAACAAATGTACAAACAAAACTTTCCTTTGGCAACACTATCCTTTGCCCTAAAAATCAGCCAATTCGAATAACTCCCAAAGCACAAGTACAGTTACAAGAAAAGAGCCATACAACGTGCCTGACTTCAGAAACCACCCAACAGAGTGAACCAGTGACTGCTCCAGCATCACTGAAAAAGACACTGTTTGTCTGGAGAAACAGAAGACATGGAAAACAGCTGACGCTTTCACAGGGGACAGTTACCTTTCAAAACCAGTTGCCTTCGCTGAAGGCATAAAGAGTGTAGATCCAGGACATAGCTGGACTACCAAAACAAAATTCCACATGTTCCATTACCTAAACCCTATAAAGATACCGGCTGAAGTGGAAAGTCTCTCTCAAGCAGTCATAAGTGCTAAGAGAAAACAAAGGCAAGAAACTACAAATTCCCATAAGAGAAGAGACTACAAGAGTAGGTCCCAGAGAACCGTCTAACCCCCAGCTGTCCAGGAAAGGGGCAGAGCAGTGGGGTGGGAAGAGCACCAGACCACAGTTACGAATGGCTGCACAGGAGTTTGGGTACAAAGTCAGTCTTTAATGAAATCAGGACTGGGCAAAACTGAGTTTCTGGGAGATGAAATGGAAAAGAAGGTTTGAACCACATGGCCAAAGTGAGTCCCAAATACTCCTACACAATGATGAGCTCTACCATGAGCTTGGATTTCAAAATATCCACTCAAAATACCTGCTGCAAGCACAAGTGGTTTTAGAAGTTACTGAAAAAGAAAGAGAATGTAGAAACATCCGAAGACATGTAAGAGTCTGGAAGAAGCCATTCCGCATTCACAGATGCGATACTCTGCAAGTCAAATACGTAATAGAAAATATAATTAAAAAAAAGGAAAAAAAAAAAAGAGGACAATAATGGCCTGAAAATCATTCCAAGGATTTCCAGACATGAAATGGCTGACAAACACAATAGGCCAGATATAATCTGGAGCTCTGGAAGCTCTTTAAATACAGACTGACCTTTCAGAGATATGCACCTCCTAGCTCCCAGCAGGTACTTCCCAAATTTCTTATTCTTCCACGAGTATCTGCTACAGACCACTAACAGGATATTGGGTTAGAGGAATCTTTGTCCTGAGCCAAAAGTAGAACTTTTAGCACAGCACCATCTGTCAGTCTTCAGACCAAAGGAGGTGTGGAAGGCAGGCCGAGGGACAATGAAAGAGGGTACAGCACAGGCAGTGCTGTTCACCAACAGTACCTCACACACAATAAATACTTAGGTTCAACTCGCAGTAACAAGCACAACCCTTTGTTCACATGTAGGGTGGTCAAGCAAGCTCTGACAGGTGACAGCACTGTAGCTGTCTGGTGCAATTCCAGGCATGGAATAGTGAATGCACAACATTAACTTATCCTCCAGTTCAGCTCTAAGGTCATAAGGAATGTCTGAAAGAACAAGTGGAAGCAAAGCGATGCCTCATTGCATTAAAATAGGCAAGACATTTAATTTGGTTTAAAGGGAGGATCTCTATTTGAGGCATCATCACACATGTAAATCCACAGACCACCTGGTACACATTGGCTAAGCCACAGTGCAGGGTATACACCTATACCAGTAATGCAAGTGGAAATTTAGGAAGCACCAAACTTTTCCTTTCACACACCACAGCCTTTCCTCTCCTCCCCTGCAAAGGAGTCCTCTCTTCACAATACAGGATATCCAAGTATTTATTTTCAGAAAATAACAATTAAATAGTGTAAAGAATGTCTCCTTGCACAAAACCAAGACAACTACATTTATTGTGCAAACACAAAGTGCTAAGTGTCAATATTGGTGCATACCATTTTCCTACTACCCCCAAATTAATGATTACACACAAAACGGTCCAGCTGTGAAAACTCAACAACCCAGACAACTCCAGTAGACAGAGATGCATAGAAAGCAACAGCAGTAAAAACAAGGAAGTAAGGCAGCCACAGAAGTATAGCGAGGCTGCCCTCTAAAGCTGCATGAACCAGCACCTAAAATCAACATATTCGACCTTCTTAGATTCATGACATATACTACAGAGAAACTGGACATGCCCTGGCTGTGTGCACTGGCATCCCAGACTCCCCCCATGTGCTGGGCTGCATCCCCAGAGTGTGAGGGGTTGAGGGGGGGGATTCTGCCCCTCTGCTGTGCTCTGAGAACCCCCCTGCAGTCCTGATCCAGTTCTGGGGCAACAACACAAGAGGGATGTGAAGCTGCTGGAGTGAGTCCAGAGGAGGCAACTCTCTGGTCAAATTCAGAAGACTGAACTGTAAATACATTAACTAAGTGTGAAACTTCGGAATTAATTACTCTACTCAAGATGATTTTCATTCATGTGCTGGCTAAAATCACTACCTTTTCAGTTTATTCACAATCAACACAAAGCATCGATGGAATTACCTGCACGCTACATCCCTATCCCAATTGCAGAGCATTTACTTACTCCTGGCTCTACTTGAGTTCTATCTGCAATGTCAATATGGACAACTTCAACTGTCTTCCATGTGTTTGGATCTAAATTGTGCACCTGCAAGAAGGGAAAAAGCCTTGTGAAACAAACAGCTTATCAGCCTAAGTCACACTAGCTTGCTTAAGGTAAAAGAACATGAAATTAAAAAGAAGTTACTGAAAATCTACTTCAGCATTAGAGTGACCTCAATATAAAAAAATAAAACCCTTCTCTCGTTCTTGCATCTCTTTAGGTGAGACCTTAAAAGGACTTAACTAATGCTTTTCTTGTTTAACATTAACCACTGCTAGGGCTTTGACTTCATGCAGTTGTTATCCACCATTACCAGGTATACAATGCATTATCTGAATGACTCTATGTTGAAAATATTACTCATGCTTGGTATCCAAATCCCAACTCACATTTTCTGATGTCCCCAAATCTGGTTTATGCCAGGTCTCAATTTTTATGAAGAAGTCATCTTTCATGTATTCATTCTGCAACAATTAAAATAAAAGAAGCGTAAGAGTGATTACACCTCTCTGCTTAAAGTGCAGGTAAATGGTATTTACATCTAAGTCACCACTAAGCCCTGACTAGCAACACATTCTGTTTAAATAACAAAATAATTTTCTAATTATTAAGACAGTTAAAAAACCTAAAATACATTTCCATGAAATTTTGAATAAATGAGACAAGGGCAGGGTAAACAGCTAACGAACAGTCCATGTTACTGTACAGCACAAGTATGATCGTGAACGTCCAGCTACCACCAAGCTGTGTTTCTGAAGACTAGCACAAGCCACTTCTCATGTCAGAAGTAAGGAAGCATACACCAGCATGCACCTGTACCACAATGAGTCAAGCTGAACAGTTCACAGACTCATTTGTTGCACCCATCTAGTGACAATCTAAATTGAGTTTGCAAGTGAGCAGGTAAAGCAATTTAACGTGAAGCTTATAAGCTTTCTTGAACACAGCAATGAAATACATACACAGGGCAATAGTCTCAATGATTTCTTTTCCACACATCTTAAAACCCCCTAAAACCCCAAACTCCCAGCTATTATAACCCATTTAGATTCTCAATTGACCTGTTTGAACTGAGGCTGGATTTCACTTTGCAGAAATGAGATTTCAGATACTGATTTTATTTCATTGGTCTTCCTGCATTCAAGAGTGCAGAAACCTCTGAATTAGGCTTTTTTTTTTTCCTCCTTTTTTAGTATTATGTCTTACAGGACAGACATCATGCAGCTGTAATGCTATGTAAAGGCATAAAAGAAGATGCAAAAAATGAAAGCATTTCTCTGGCAAATTATAGTTCTTTCTAAATATAGCCATGTGCAGACAAATAAAGTAATAAGGAGCCAGAAACCCTAGCAAGACATACAGGAAAGGCTGGAGCTAGCTTGCTTGCTAGACTCAGAGTCAACTTCAGCAGTAGTAACAGAAAACACATTCCAAAAAACCCCCCATAGGACTGATAGTAATTCAGATACTCACTGTCACAACTGGCCATTGGAAACACACGCAATGAAAATGAAAAGGAAACAAAGTATTATTAGATGTAATTCTTTCTCAAAAATCTCACATATAATGATTGCTCAACAGTACAAGAATCATCCAAAATCAGTCTAACAGCATTCGTGTGCAGAGTCAGCAGAGTTCGCAGACTTTGACTTGCCTTAACCTTAGGAGTTCTTTGTAAGGTACTCCAAACTCTTCAATAGGAACAGAAAAGAAACAGAGCCTTCTCCTAGAACTTAGGCAATCAAACGTATTAAAATAAAGCAGTCACCTTATTCTAACAGGCTATGTGGAATTAAATTCTTTTCAAACAGGCTCTGTTCTAGACCATAAGAGAATCACCTCTTTGGTCCTATCCCAGGGACACAGGATGCAAAGACTCTGTAGGAAGCAGCAAACTGGTCCCCTGAGGCTGCTCTCCAGAAGCAGCCCTCCTCTTCAGAGGAGATCTCACAAGCACAGCATTAACATTTTAAACATATTTTCCACCTGATGGTACCCTCTTTTCTCTTTTAACCATTTAAGACCATCCCTGGACTGAACACTGACAGCAAAACATACAATGAGAGACCTACTTGTTCTACAGTAGGGATATGCGTTCCAAGCCTTCTCATGGAAGACCAGAGAGCCTTCTGGCGCAATCATCCGCACAAAGCCAGGAACTTTACTGTGAAAAACAACGTTTTAGGTTTTAGAAATGTTTGCCAGCTGAAATTCCTCATTGATTTCTTCCAATCCAGTAGCAAAGGCAGATTTTACCTAAGCACTTTCAAGGTTACAACGGCCAAGTTGCCCACAGTTAAATATGCAGGAACCTGAACAACATTACCGAGCTTGCTTTCCTGTTCAGGAACAGCAGACAACTGCTGATGGAGAGATCTGCTCTAGCAGAACAGCAGGCTCACCAGTGACCAAGCCTGCAACCCGGCTGCCCTGCAGCCTGGAGGGAAGAACTCAGGGACTTTAGCTGTGACTGAGGAGGAAAACTGCAGCTCACCCAAGGCATCAGAATCACCATCTCTGGTAACTGCCCTCTACACCAACAGAGCACCACGGGGGGAGAGAATGGATGCTTGAGGAAAGAAAAGTACCAAAAGCTGGTACAAATCAGATATTTCTCCATTACTGTACCCCACATACTTCAAACCCACTGTACCTCACATGTCAGTGACCAGAGCACTCATGCTCAATTCAGCACATTACACAGAGGTAGAAAAGTGCAAGGACCCACCCAAGAACACAGAACAACAGGAGGCTGCCCTCAATTTTAACATTCCATGCTCAACACCAAGTGACCACAATACGTACCAAAGCTGTCCTCACCTCTTTAAATGATAGATTTTGTGGGTATATTGCCCCTTCTCGCCATCCTTCTCATAAGGCTCGTTTTTTAAGACTTGAATTCCTTCACCACCTCCTGTTTCGTTTTTGCTAGCTTCTGCCACGGAATAAAGTTGCCCAACTTGATACTGAAAAGTTAAAAGAAGTAAAATTTCAATATGAAAGTTAGCCAAAACTTTTAACGCATTAGAAATTTAGATACTTCCAGAGAAAATTTAGTAGAATAAAACTACCACTAAAGTCATATACACCATATAAAAATATTTAGTAAAAGATGACAATCTGCTGGCAAAATGTATCTGTAGTTCACAGCACCAGGTCTGTGATCAGCAGTTTCACTTCAATGTCATGCTTTGGTAGAGCACAACAAACAGGTTATTGTTCATATCCTAAAATCAAAGTGCATACATTGTTCTTAGCTGTATAAAAGAGATGTAACTTTAAGTTTACAGATGGTGAAATAACTGATTTCCAGCTCAGAGCCTCCCAAATTCATACTTTTAACTGACTTAAGATTGGCCCTCACAGGACCCATAAAACGTGAACTGCAAAAGCAAGCAAGCACCCCACTTTCCCTCAGAAGCACATTCAGACATCCCATCGTGACTTCCATTTAAATGTATCTCAGTGGCATTTAAACAGCTGGCCTGAGATTTTGGAAGATGACTTTGCCTTCAGGAAAAGGGCTGGAGTCACTCAATGCCTTCATCAGCAGGAAAGCTCTGCTGCAGTGCAGAACTGCACAACTTTTCCTCCCTTGCTTGTAAGCATGGAGTGGCTCAGAAACAACTAAAGGTTCTTTGCACACAGGCATTTGCTTCCTTTGGATTTCACTATCTACAGGAGGTCAACCCCACCTAACTGCTGGCTTACACATGGTGTAGCTTTCCTGTGGCAGGCTGGTGGGACAGCACAGGGAAAACTGGGATGCAGGCCAGTCAGATTTAAGTAAGACTTGTAACATTGTCCCACCCATCGCCCCAAAGCAAAAGCAAGCAGGATGAGGACGTACCTCTTGCACTGAGCAAGGTAAAACCACTCGGCTGAAAGAGGAAAAGAACAGATTGAACAAAAGTAACAACCAGGCTTCAATGGCAGGTAACATATAAACTGTAACAAAGACACTCCCAAAGGGAGTGTCAGAATGAGTTCATTCCAGTTTTCTTTTTAGAAACACTCTGTGCCAGGAAGGCTGCATGGATACACTGCAACAAATCCAAGTAAAATCCAAGACAAATGTGTTACAAAAGGAAAAACGTGGTTAAGAACATTAGAAGCTGCAGAGAATGGCCACAAAATCTTGAATCTCCTTCCAGCTCTGCCATAACTTTGTACTGGGCTGAATGTGTTCAAACCCTGAGGCATGAGCTTCTGTCACAGTTACACCACGAGCGGTCTCATCCGTGCAATAAAACAGGACAAACCCTCACAGCCTACAAATGAATTTAGGCAATTACAGCAGTTACGAATCACATAAGAAGGATCCACAGCTCACACCCTTTCAGGTGGCAGAAGCAAGTGCATTTGAGGTGAGCAGCTCAGTTCTAACAGAACTCGCTGTGCAGCCAACAGTGGTGCCAGGGATGCAGAGCTGGGTTTTCACAGCCACAGGAGCACAGAACCCTGCAGTGACAGAGCTTCTCAGCTTCACCTTTCCTAACAAAATAGACAAAGATGATGCAAATTATGCTTTTGGCAAAACAACATCACAGACCTGCATTGTTCCTAGGGCTGAGAGTGACATTACCTCCTTGACTGACAACCTTATGGACATTCAAACTCAATGCAACACAACTGTCCCGAAAGCACGAATACAACCTGAGCCTGTCTGTGATGAGAACTTACAGGATGCACACAGCCCACTGGCAGCTCACAGGAAACACAAAGACACATAGCCGGCTTCACCTACAAGGACTGGCGTGAACTCTTCCTCCAACATGAGTGGGACACTTGGTTCCATATGTCATCCCCTGGACACAGCACCAGCACCTCAGCCCTGCCCAACTACACCAGCTCTCTGAAGTTCAGGAAAATCTGTTAAGTATCCTTGGAAGTCTGTTTGGAACCTAACACACATCTGCTACTTCCTACTGATTTGAACCTACACATCACCTTTACAACCACAACAGAGACCACTCCTGACTTGGAGATGGTTTAAAGCCAAAGGAGCGAGCGGGAGGAACACACCAGCTGGTGGCTTGCTGACAGACGACCTTACAGGTAAGGTCTACAGAGCAACATGGAGCTCCTGGCACCATCAGGACAGGCACCAGCAAAGCAATGCAGGGCAAGACACCGCTCCACCACTGCTACTCGAGTCCCTTCCTAGGCAGACCGGGATCCTGACCCGAAACACCCTCGGCGACGCCGTCAGCCCCGCAGCGGCACATCGCGAACACGCCAGCCCCGAGGGAACGAGTTTGAGGAACTCGTTGTGCGGGGCCACAGCCCATTACTGCGGGCGGGGACTGCCGCGCAGGAGCGCCCGGGCACGTTCACCGGGGCCAAGCCGCCACTTCGGGCTGAAGCGCGGGAGGCGGAAGCAGCAGGAGGCAGAAAGAGATCCACGCCCCGAACTCAGCACCAGTCCCCGCCGAGGGGAGGTGGCGGCGGCAGCAGCAGCAGCGTCCGCTCGGCTCGAGGCCAAACACCGCGCTCCGCTGAGAGGAGCGGCCGAGGCCGGCGGGAGCGGCCGGCGCCCCGCGCAGCACAGCCGCGGGAGGCTCGGCAAGCCGCGGGCCAGAGCGGAGCAAAGCGGGCCCTACCCCGCCCGGCGGCAGCCGAGCCGAGCCGAGCCGAGCCGAGCCGAGCCGAGCCGAGCCGAGCCGAAGGCCCCGCCGTGCCGTTCTGTGCCGCGCTACCGCTCCCCACGCCCGCCGCACTCACAACTCCTTGGTCAGCACCATCTTCCCCGCAGGCCGCACCGCGCAGGCGCCACCCGCCCATGCTGCACCGCGCGCTTCCGGGACAGACCCCGCCCCCTCGCGGCGGCGCCACCAATCCCGCCGCGACGTGCATCCTCGCGCCCGCTGCCGACCCGAGCGCGCCCCTGCGCGTGCTCACCGCGCCTGCGCTGCCCGCCACCAATCCGAGAACACGCGGTGCCGCACCTCAGCCCCGGACAGCCAATCAGACCGCACCGCCACGGCGGCTCCGTTCCGCTGCCTCCCCGCCTCTCTCGCCAGTCCGGTGACGTCATCTCCGTGCGTCGCCGCCGGCGCCCCCGCCTTCCGGAGGCCCCGGGCAGCGCCGTCACACGCCCGGTCTCCTAGCGCCCCCCGCCGGGCAGGGCCAGCGCTGCAGCGCCCGCTCCTCCGCGCAGCCCGGCGGAGTGGACCGGCGGCCCTGGGCGCACCCGCACTGCGGGAGCTGAACCCGCAGCTTCTCGGCTGGACCCGGGCGCTCGGGGAGCAGCGGGTCTGGCCGCCCCGCTCTGCGGTGTGCCCCAGCCCAGCCCTGCCCTTGGGCATGGCCGCGGCATCCCCGGGGCTGCCCCTGCTTTGCCACACGAGCGGGACGCGATCAGTCGGCAGCGGAACCGCGAGTGCCCCGCAAAGGGGAAGGCGCTTTCACCGCTGCTGCAGCAGCCCCGCGGGGCCGCGGCTGCCGTGTCAGTGCCGCCCTCTTGTGAGAGGAGACACAGCCGCGCATGGGGACACTCGAAACCGACGCTCAGCGAACCCGGCTCAGTCCCACCTGCACTCCCCGGGCCCGCAGAGCCGTCGGTGACACGGGGCCACCCGGGTTCTTTCAAAAACAAGCAGAAAACGGAAAAAGCCGACGAGTCCCGGCTTTTGGAGGCGTTGAAAGAGGCTGGAATCAGCCCCAAGGGCAGAATACACCCCATGAGGCTCCCGGCCCGTGCAGAACGCGAAACGCTGCTCCCCGAGAGACTGGCGGGGTGGGGGCCGGGGCGGGACACGCTACAGGGTGAAAGCTTCACTTCCCCGGCTGCCTTTATCCAGCACATCTCTATTAATACAAACACGGGAAGCTGCCTCAAGGCACTGCATCCCAGAAGGGAAATACACAGAGCTTCTCCGAGTTCAAACAGGGAGTCTCTCGTAGTACCAAGTCTTTACATAGGGACCTCTGGGATACAAGAACAGTGTTGGACTCCAGACCGAAACCAGAAGTGTAATTCACGAGAAGCTGATGCACTTCAGTTCTTCTGCAGGGAACTGGTGGTGGATTTCTGCAGTTGGGGTCTCCTGTTTGAGCAGCCATCTCCACACAGTGCCTATGTTCCCAGATTGTGTCCTTTTCCCTACTTCCAGGCCCACCCCTGCCCGCCTGTTCCCTTCAGGAGCCATCTGCTCCAAGTTGTTTGCCAGCAGCTAGAGCTGATGATGCATTTACACATCAACTCCACTAAAGGAGAGCAGAAACTCAGTAAAATTCAGTGTTGCCAAAAGACCCTCCCACAGAGGGCTGTGCCTGGGTGATGTGACCGGGCTGTGTTGCCGTCCCCAAGTTCTCCAGCATTCCCTATTTTCCTGTATTTGGTTTTCCCAAGTGCCGGCTGAGCGCAGGCCTTGCTGCTGCTCCTTCCCCGTATGGACAACAGTTGTCCTTGGCTTGCTCAGCCGGCAGCACCATGTGCTCTCCCCAAGCGCCTCCTCTTTGTTTGTATCTAGATGATACCACACTCATAGCAGCAGTCAAGAAGCAGCTTCCTGCTGATTCCAGACCCCACGTACACAGCCGCCACTTCAGACCTGCCCGGCCTCTGCACATGCAGGGGAAGCTTCCCCCCAGCAGCTCTACAGCCCAGGCTTGCCCTGCACCAGACCCCCTGAGCCTGCTGAACACAGGTTTTGTGCACGGGAGGCATTAGAACACGAGAGCGCTGCTTCAGGAACCCTGCACACAGGGACCGAGTGGTCCTCGAAGCTCCTTCCAGCCCAATAAGTGAGCAAATACCGATGTTCCCACCACCTGCAAGGGAAAAGAAAAGCAATTTCCAATCCTGCCTTGTAATAACAACTCAACATTCTGGCACAGAAAGAGGAGGAAGCTCTCAATGAGCCCTCACTGCCACAGGGGAGGCCAAGCACAGCAGCCCAAGTTACTCATACTTTGCCATAGGATGTAGGTAGACGTGGACCACAGGCCAGAGGAGCAGATCAGCAGTCAGCTGGGGTCAGGGCAGGGTGCAGTGTTCTAGCAAGTTCTTTCCCAACACCATCCTAGACCACGAGACTGAAGTACTGAGAGAACTCATGCTTTAATAGACACAGAAATCACAAAGGAAGAAGGCCAAATGCCTTAGCAATTTCAATAAAAATATGAAAATCTTTTTACATGGTAAATTTCATAATATAAAAAGTTTAATGCTGTCTGGAAACAGTTTTAATTTACAAAGAAAGTCCATATAGGCCAAACATGGCTAACACTGCATACAAGGAGAGCAAGTGCTGAAGGGCTGCTGCTTGGAGCGTCTCTGCCGACAGTCACCGTCCTCAATGTGGCCTGAAGGAGTTCTGCAGCCGCAGGGCCATGTGTTGCATGCACCTCTGCAGCCTCTGTGGGCAGCACAACCCAAACCCAAACCCACCACCAGCCGGCAGCCACCAGTCTCTTCACAGGTTCAGATACTTTTGTGCACCTGGATCTATGCTGCAACTTGAAGGAGATGTTTACGTAAGAAGTTTGACCTAGTGAAAGGAAACGTGGCCTAGAGTGATGCACGTGGCTGTAGCACCCCTTCAATGCTGTTCCCTTGTTTAAGTAAGATGTGGTTAAATAGAAGGAAAATCGGTACCAGGCCAGAGTCCAGGCTAACCAACATAAAATTAAAGTGGATTTGGTCAGAGCTTGTTACTGTTCCCATTTAGTTGGAGCTAAAGACAGTCAATAAAAAATCTGTAACCTCACACAGTAAAACATACAGGGCAAACCCAAACTAAAATAGATTCTACGGCCTTGGGGAATGGTTGCATGTGGCAGGTTTAGTGTGAAAGTGGATAACACCTAATTCTTATTGCTCACTGTATTAAGCAGTGTTGTCACTTGTACCATGCACAAATACAACATCAACAAACGCATTTAAACTCCACAGAAGGAATTCTAATACCAAACAGAGAACATGGTATTTCATTTCCTGAATTTCTCCACATATTGGGCAAACCTGATTAAATTCTTTTTTTCCTCACAAAGGGGTCATTTCTCATTCAGGAGGTGGAGGAGTGAGGCACGAGGTGTGGGAAGTGTTCCCAGCCATGAGTAAGCATGCACCTTCATGGCTCTCATCAAGCCAATGGAAGTGCCCTGTGCAAGTCAATGGAAACTCGTTTCCCAAAGGACTTGTTCTAGTGACACTCACCTTCCATATTTTTACACCAATTTCCCAAATACTGAACTTCCTCTACATGTGAACCCTTCCCTGTTTCCAACGCTCCCCCCTCCCTAAAAACCCAGGGAACCATCCCACCCCCCACCCCGATGCACCTTTGTCTGAAAACTCTGAGCCAGTGTGAAACCCACTGGAACATGGGGATGACAACATGGAATTTCTACAGAGCAAAAGATCCTTTAGTTATGGAATTAGACTACAAGAGAGAGGCTTATTTCTGGCATGTTTTGCAGCACTACAGGGAATATTTGCTGTTGCTATGCACAAAAAGCTGCCCACTTCCATCCTGGGTGATCCTGGGATGCCATTTCACAGCAGCTGTGCTGGTTAGAAACAGAGCAGGTCACAGGAAGGCTCTGGGCAGTGCAGTGCCCACCACAGGGTCACTGCATGGGGGGCAGACGCTGCACCCATTATCCTAATTTTTCCTGCCAAGTGACGAAAAGATGGTATCTAGCACCGAACCATCACAGAGGGATGTAACGTACAGACACATAACTTGCATCACAGGCGCTGAACAGAGTTACTCAGCTGTTTTGCTACATTGCATAATATGAGTAAACGAAAAACTACTCTTTGTCCTTCTGCACTGACACTTTTGTGATCACCCATCCCTTGTTAGCTGACTGTAACAACACAGCCCTGTATTCTTTGCCTTTAGTGCTTGTGTTAATTTCTTGCAATGGCAAAAAAGAAAACATTCTCCCAAACCCAGTGGATTCTGGAACATAATCAAAGCAAGCACTTGATATATGCACTGTGAGTAACTGAGCCTACATAACGTTATATTCCGGTATCAGAATTGAATCCTCTGTCCTGCTATCATGCTTTTTCCTCCAAGATCCCTATCACAAAGGATCAGATCCGTATTTTCAAGAACATCCAGACATGATAAGCGCAACAATTACCTGTTCCAGCAACGTGCCCCAGCACGTTTACAGAGCTGACTGCACTCACCATTCGGGTGGTCAGTCCCACAAACAGAGGCTGACTTAAGACCCAGCTAAACCTCAGGCCTAATTAAGCCTCACATCACCTCTGTGAGGTAGGTAGGTAAGTATTACTATCCCCATTTAGATAGAAAGGGAAGACGAGGCACGGAGAGGTGAAGTGATTAGGCTTCAGTCACTCAGCGAATTTTGGGAGTGCAGCGTAGAACCCAAAAGCCTTGGTGATCCAGTGCTCCGACTTCATAGCATGCGGCCTGTGAAATTCTCGCTCCATCTTACTGTGCAGGTGGCCAAGCTAACGCTACCGCCTGCCCACAGTCTTCAGTGCATGTAAGGTATCATTCTGAGTCTGGTTCCATCACTGCGTTCAACAGCCACTTCAAAGAAACAATCTCCACCTTGCCCCGCAACACCCAAACACCGCCTAGCCCAGGACAGCTCAGGTCACACACACCACCCCAGGTGCTCTTGGTTCTCTTTTCTCCAGGGATCTGAGGGTGCACAGGTTCTGCCTACAGCCACTCTGCCTGTTGCCTCATGTACGTGCTTGGACTGCACTGACGTCTGCTCAGACCCGTGTACCTGCTCCAAAAGAAACTGGCTTCCACAGCAGGGAGGGGTTTGCAGACTCCCATGATGAGCTGCGGGGAATGATTTAGCAGGTCCAGCGGAGGACTTGTCAG